TTTTTAAAGTTACAAGACAAATTGAACTAATGAAAAAAAAGGATAAAGAAGTGAGGCAACGATGAGTTTTCAAGATATTCCATTCAATTTCTAGGAATGGATGTAGCTCATACTAGCTAGATTTAACAACAAAATCTAGCTTAGATAAAAAAGTATTACTTGAAAGGTGAAATTTTTAATAAAAAATTATTTGGTGACATTTGCTATTATTAGCTTGATTGTATTATTTTTTTTTTCCTTTTAATTCTCTTATAAATTTTAGAACTATTGATCATACAAATTTCACCGTAAATATAAAAATAGAAGATCACATTTATAAATGGAATAATTAAAATAAAGTATGAAGCAACTCTGATGATTAACTTGGTGCATTTGTTATCCTTAATGTGCTAATTTTTCTTTTTTCTTTTTTTTTTTTTGACATGCAGTTTTTATAAAAATTTTTCTTAATTTTTGAAATGGATATGGAATTTAAGTGAAGAAATAAATAAAATTTCATTTTCAAAACATGCATATAACTCCATTCAACAATGTCGCCAATCGTAAATTCATACCATTTTCTAAAGCTTTATATAGTGGACTCGTAAATTCCTTCAACATAATACATTCTTTCGCCTCAATTCTTCCAATAAATGAAAATAACTGTACCGAACGAACCATTTTCTGCCTTGAAGTACACAAATTTGATGGTGAACACTTTACTTTTTGAGTATTCCTATTATTATAGTATGAATGAAATTTAAGATGGAATAAAGAAAATGATAGCAATAATGATATGTATCTTTCTTATCAATATTTTTTGTATCAAGCAGGTGATATGGTTAAAAATTGATATCGGATTCTTATTTCACTCTTAAACTAAACAAATGTTGAACAAATTACTTCAATGTATTGCGAATGAATTTGTAAGTTTTCCCATATGTAACGTTTAAAAATTTGATAAACTTCAAAAATAAAAAATAAAAAAAGTTTCCACGATATTTGAAATTATAGCTCAATTTAATCGAGCATAACATAATTTAAGGATAAAAATTCATGCATATTTTCAGTCAATAAAACAAACATATAAAAATGCTTGGAATTTTTAAATTCAATATAGTAAAGTTTGATTAAATTTAATGCATACATCAATAAATAATGATATTAACATTATTGTAGAAATGTTTTTCGAACTAAAATATTTCAAAATGCTGTTTATGATGAAAAGCAGCTAAAATATGAGCTTTAGGACTTTGCATGAAGACAAATAAAATACTTTATAATGTTTTTTGCTTAAAATTCGTTCATTTTCTTTCTTTTTTTTTAATTATTTATTCATTTCCTTTTCTTTTTTTTTTTTTTGCAATCTGTGTCTGGATTGAATGTTTTATATGTTGAATTATTTATACAAATCAAAATTTCGATCAAAATTCAAAATCTGTATTTGTAAAACATTAAAGAATTACGTAATAAGAAATGTGCACCTATAAAATGAACTTTATCACTTTATTATTTCATACATTATATAGTCGATATTAATGAGCAATTGCGATATTATTTTTATGGGAAATATAAAATAAAACATGATATGAAGGACATTTATGAGTGAAAATAAACTAATTAATTTCTCTTTTATATTTGAGCATTTATTAAAATCTAATAATAGTTGAGTGTTATGAGAGCGCAGTCACATACTTTTATATATACGTTTTAATTTATGTAAACAACAAAAACATTAACTTTGATGTTAGCTAACTTTGCATAAATGAATAGATTAGCAAATAATTCTACAAGTGCTGCCATAAACTTCATTTAGGAAGATCACAAATTATAGTATCATGAAAAGTTGTAAGAAAATATTGAGAATTATAATACATATCCCACTGAACATTGCTAGAATTTGAAATTGTTCCGTAATTTCAAGTAGCAAATCCAGTACAGAAAAGAGCTTTCCTAAAACAAAAACCTATGTTTTACGATACATTCAATATACGGATTTTATGTCAATGGTCCTAAAATGAATTAATTTTGACAAAATTAACATTATTGTAGAAATTTTTGTATGCGCAGGCTTGATGACTAATTCAAGACATTAAAATAGTCAGTAAGAGCTAAATATGAATGAGAAAAACGTATGTGCAGAATAATGAACGGCTGATTATCTTAAGTGAAACACGTTTCTTTATCATTTTGTGTTAAATTTTAAGGAAATTTCCAATAAGTTTTATAAAGTGAAATTTGGCATAAATGTATATTCTGGAAAAAAAAAACATGATTACCTTTAAATTCCTTTCGATCTCTTAATAATTATAAATATTTTTTGCTAGTTTTATGATAATATTTTTCAGTTAGCACAATGAATATATTTCAGGCACGATTGATTGATATTTTTCGCAAACCAAAAAATCAACTTTCTGGAAACGATTTGTCAGTATCCATTAGCAATTTTATAATTTTTAAAGTTCTGACTCATGGTTTTTTCTTTTACATGTAGAGAAAATGAACTTATGCAGAACCAGTAGAGTTCTGTAAAAAGGTAATGCTATTAGAACAATAAATGAAATCTTTTTTCATTTGCTTTTTTTTTGCTTGATGTGAGAAATTAAAAATGTTCCAGAAAAGTACAGGAAGATTCGAAAACGGATTGCGGAATTATCAGTATGGCACGCGGTAATATCAGGTATGCTAAGATCAGCAATATATGAACTAACATTAATGAAAATAACATTTATGATATCCCTCCAAATAGATTGTTTCATATCATAGGAATTATTATATGTTATCATTGATAATTCTTTCTTGATTATTCATATAAATTAGATGCCATAACTATTAACTCATTTCACAGACTTTTCTCTTTTGTGAATTTACGTTTCCAGTTTTTTGTAATTTTCTGAACTTACTCAGAGATTAATCGATTTCAATCAAGCAATTTTACATCAAGGATGAAAACCGATAAATGATCTGTTAATTTTGGATTTAAATATATCTGTTACTTTTGAATTTGACAGATTTCATTCGAAAAGTCTAGAAATCTGAATATTCCAATCATTGAACATATTTTCAGGGAAAAGATGGCAATATTCAAAGATGGAACATCCGATGAAGACGAGCATCAACCCATTTACAGCTATTCGCTTGGAGTTAGTTTTCATTATTTTCATTGCTCTATCAAAATCAAAATGTAACAATGCCATAAAATTCGAAGCAATCGTCTCATAACTGCTATGAAATGATTGGAAATAATCCTAAAAACCTGTACATATGTCATAATCACACGTTATTTATACGTGTAACAAAATATGAAATATTCAAAGCATGTATTTCGAAGTATCACTGCAGTGATGCATAATTTTTGGCGTTTTTTTTTCTTCTAGAAGAGGTAATCCACTATTTTGAGATTTTTGATTGAATTTTCAACAATTCGTTTGACTATATCTTACGGTATATGTGGACAAAAAGCGTCGAAATTTGTAATATTCATATCATTGACGATCAATTATCATTTTGATAACATTTGATGTCATCAAATTAAAAACCCAAAATTCATAATTTAGTAATTGATGAGAACGAGAATTGATATTCGGAATAAAAATTCAAAACTAAAATGTGGATACTATATTACAATTGTTTTTGATTTCAATAGTGTTATGGGAAAGTAAACAAACTAACTGTATGGAATGTCATGAAAAAAATTATGAATGTTTCCTAACTATCAAATATGCTCACGTACGTACGTACGTATATATATATATATATATATATATGATTACGTTGACGCATGAACTGTGAAAAATGAAGAATAAAGGACAATGATAAGCACTAATTCAAATGTGACAACTGACCGTGTTGATGAACAATTCTCTTTTAAAATATTTCCCGCCAAGGGAGAAAATGTCATCGGTTTGAAGAATGGATGGGAATGGATTCGATTCGATTCGATTCGATTCAATTCGGAGGAGAACATTGTACATTAAAATGAAGGAAAGGAAGAGGACGGAGGTATGCAATGCGATATGAACGATCGCTTTCCTCATCATCGTTTTCCTTCTTCCCTTTCTTCCTTTTATTTTTCCTTAACCCCCCCCCCTCCCCTCCCCCTCCTTTAAAAAAAACAGGTTTAGTTCTAAAAATTTACCCAAATAGATGCCAGCTTAATTCTTCTCATCTAATACTACTATGCTGTATATGTTAGGTATTCATTCTTTAGATAAATTAATATTGTCTATCAATGAATAATATTTACAGTTATTTTTTATATTTGACATTTTTAGTTGATTATTTTAATTTAATTATTTTTGTTGATGCTATTCTTTGCATTTTGATAATTTTTTTTTCTTTGCTTTTTCTGATCTTATTTCATAATTTGCAAGAAGAATAGAAAATGTGTTGTTTGGAATTTTGCTAGAAAAAGTTTGAATTGTTGAAATATGCTAAAATTGAGATGCTGTTTTGTATGATTTTATCAATCATTAATAGAAGAAGCTTGTATGGTACTATAATATAATTCTTCTGATAGGTGCAATCATTACCAATACCGGATTTGTTCTCTGTTAAATTCGAATTTCGATCTTTCACGTAAGACACTTTTTGATGTCGCATCGAAATTATTTTTCGTATACTTCGCCAATGTTTATTAATTGCGGTTTTTAAAATTCGTGTACATAAATACATAAATGGAAGACTCGAAGATAAAGTGAATTCTCTTGAGAAGAATGGATTTTATTAAGTAATGCAAATTAAACAATTTTATTCGAAAATGGATATACATTTAAGGCTATTTTTTATTGAGCATCATGGTTTTTCAACTTTTTGTTCTACATATTAATATCAGAAGTAATAATTATCTAAGATTCACACCTTCCCGTTTCACTCTAACGTCCGATATTTGTTTATGTGCCGTACGAGTGATTACGACGTGAGGTTGATCAGCGTGATGAACTCTTCGTCATCCACTTGATAAGGTAATGAAAACCTTTTCAGTAGTTGATAAGAAAAACTTCGAGAACTATTTTAGCAATATGATATGCAACGAGACGTATAAATCGACACCGTTTCGGAATAAACTTACTCGTAGAACGTATTCGTCAATACGCTGTTCACGTCAAACTCAACGAACACAATTAGAAAGTGCAGAGAACACAATTAGAAGTTTTAATGAACAACACGAACAATACTTACGTCAAGGATGTCAAACAATAAGTGAAGAGGGTGATTTAAATGGTCAATCTTCCGCGAATCAAAATAACGAACGATGTGGTGCTGATTCCTGTATTTTTATACGAGGACCTACACAGTTACGTGATTCACGTCGTAAAACAGCAGAACAATGGCAAATCAGGAAACATCCTCTAGTAAATGATGAGAATTGTGTGGAAGAAATACGGCATGGTCAGAAAGTTAAATTTTCACTTGCTGTAAATAATAATAAGTCATTTCTTCGAAATCTGAACAACATTGTAGAAAATAAAGAAAGTGTCCAGATTTCTACAACCAAACATCTTGAATATTCTCGAACTCATCTTTTACCGTCACTTTTTTCATCATCCATCATCGGTCCGAAATCAAAAAGTTGCAATTCTGAATCAAATTTCGAATTTTTATACCATTCCGATTCATCTTACCCGATTAATTCTTATATTATATCGAAGAAATTGCATTTAAAATCTGCTGGACTGCATGAAATTCATATAAATAGATCTATGCAAAATCAAATTCCTTTGAATGAGAAGGTAAGTTAAATGCTTTGGCAAAATAATAACAATTTTCATCTTTTTTCTTTTTTCATTTTGTCATTGAGAGTAATGTCTGTCATATAACAATGAGTTATTTTATTTTCAACTTTGTGATATTATTTTTCATTTTATTTATAAACCCAATTTTAAATTTATTCCTTGAAAATTTGAAAATAAATTTAAATTGGTCCCAAATATGGCGGTGTCATATTCTTACTTTTATTACAAACATATTTTCAACCTTACAAATTTTTAGATGACTTTTTATCTTTTATCTTTATGAAAGAAAGAAAAAATAAATTACTTACAATAATAGTATGGGAAATTTCATTACTTCTCTTAATGCACTTTATTTTCTTTCCAGCATGATTATGCCGATACTTTAAAAGAAATAAATCGTTGCCGTAACGTAGCTTTGCGGAAAAAGAAAATTTTTGGTAATAATATTACTTCAAACAATGAAATAAGCAGTCAACAACGGACTGTTTCATTTTCCAATTTGCAGGTTTGTAATTTAATTTGTTTAAAATTTGTACAAATAAAAAAAAAGAGGAAAAAAAGGAAAGAGAAAGAAAGGATGCAGAAAGAATTGTTATATGGTTTATATGCATGTTATAACTTGAATGAAAGAAAATAATTTAAAAACAACCCGAAATTTTGTGACCGTTTTACTCATGAAACATTCACAGTATTTCATGTGCCAATAATAAAGTTTTCATATTCAACAAAGAAAAAAAGATGTTCTGTATTCTAATCATGGTATAATGATTATTTTCAATAGTTATATTTGTTTGGAATTGGTGACAAATTACATATGCTGGATATATTTTCATCTTATAATCATTAAATCTAATATTATATGAAGTATTGCAATTAAGATTTGCTAATAAGTTTATAAGAATGTATGTAATGCAATTAGACGGACAAATATTGCTTGTTAATGATGCAAAATGAAACTATGGAAATGTTTTGCATTCATTATATAGTATTTGCAACTTTTTTTACTCATTTTAAGCTTTTTTCATTTTTATCCAATCATTTCATTTATAATCTTTCTTTTCCTTTCTTTCTTTGAGAATATCATACGGTAATTATGTTTTATATTAAGATGATAAATTAATACGAAGTAATTGTTGATCAGTTTGCTAGGAAGTTTTATAGAAACTGAAAAATTTTTGTTTTTTTTTATTTTTACAAGAATTACTTCTTACTAAGACTTATTTTTTCCCATTTAGTACTTTGTGCTTGTGTGTGTGTGTGTGTGTGTGTGTGTGTGTG